ACTCCTGGCTCAGCAGCGAGAGCAGACGCGGGGGACGGAGCTGTGCGGTGGGGCTCCGGCTCGCTTGTATGTGACTTTGCCCACGACAGCCGACAGCCGCGTGCAGGGATGCAAAGGCCGTGTCCAGCCAGAAACACGGCTTCAGCTCAGCTTCACTTAAAGCAAAAACATCTGAGCTGGTTCCAATTCTAAAGCAAAATGCAAATTCATGGAGAAACAGGGGACAGGGAAGAGTTAAGGAACAGCCCTGGCCGGTGTGGCTCTCTCTGCTGGGGCATCCCGGGCACCCAAAGGCTGAGGGTCCGATCGCTGGTCGGTGCGTATGGGAGGGGCTCCGGGTCCTGTCACCCCAAACTCTGAAGCAGATATGGGCAGCGGCCGCCGGCCCCCTCCCTGCGGCCTGGTCTCTGGAATTCCTCTAAAGTCACGCCAACGTGCAACCCCAGTGCCCGGGCGAGCTGCACAGAAACTCCCCCAGAGGGTCGGATGTCTCCAGACGCCTACACTTTAGTCATAAAGACAAACAAACGAGAAATGCAAAGGCTCACCAGGCCTCACCCCGAGGCTCAGCGACGCCATCTAAGGAGCCTAAGAAGCCACAAAACAAGCCTGAACCCAAAGACCCCGTGGCACTCAGCACGGGGAGCCCTGGATGCGAAACGGCCTGGAGATGAGCCCGGAGCAGAGTCTAACCTTCGCCAACAGCTCCGAGGCCCCTCCTGCAGCCTCACGGGTCCTCCGCATCGCGACCCCACGCAGCCCTCATCTCCGGGTGAGACCCCTTTCCTGGGCCGTCACAGGGTCCTTTCACCTAAACCCCGAGCTGTCGACCCCGACGACACCCTCCCTCAGGGCAGGCACAGCCAGGCTGAGCGTTTTCATGGAAGAAGCAGGGCTGCCTGGTTGTATCTATTTTCATAGACGCGGCCCTGCCTCCTGTGGACGCCATGTGCTCACAGGGACACCACATGCTCACCGCAGACGCCATGTGCTCACGGGGACGCCAGTGGTCCTGACCTTGCTCGGGGCCCCGAGAACCTGCCTTGAAGGACAGGCTATTTGTTAAGGACCCAGCAAAACTGGATCGCTGACATCCCCTCAGGCATGCCCAGTCTTCCCATCCTTTCCAGCACCTTCCTAGAGAGAGTTTGACCTCGCCTTGACCCTGTGTGAGCGACACCAGAAACTCAGTGGCGATGAGACCGACCGGCTCAATAACCCTGAGGAACTGGGGGAGCTTGAAGGCCCGGGTGGGTCAGACAAGCAGCTGTGAGTCCCATGAAAACCCAAACGACCCTGAAGACACCAGGACCAGGCAGCCGCCAGACTCTCCAGGGGCTTTACTCACAGGCCGGCTCCCCCGACGATTCGACGCTGACTCGCACTGCACACTGACGGGACGCTGCGTCCCCCACCCCAACCAACAAACTCGCTGCGGCCTCCCGGAGAGGAAGGCGGGCGCGGGAGCCAAGAGGGACGGTGTCACCGCACCGATCGCTGGCTGTCTCAGCAGATTTAATGGCTTGAGGCCCTTGAACAAGCAAGTCTGTTAAATTCAGAAACCACTTGAATTCTGCTGATTTTTAAAAAACATAATCCAAAATGTCCCAATCCAAAGACTTTCATCTTATCTTGATGAGTATTTTTAAAACGTGCAAACTTCTGAGCTGGAGGAGGCGGTGGAGTTTGGAGGACGGGAGCACTGCCAATAGAGTAACGAAGAAGGACAGTGGGAATGAGGAGCCGCAGCGGCCGGCCAGGCCTCGGGCTCAGATCCCGCCCTCGGGAGACCCTGGGCCAGGCCTCGGGCTCAGATCCCGCCCTCGGGGGGACCCTGGGCCAGGCCTCAGGCTCAGATCCCGCCCTCGGGGGACCCTGAGCGCAGCCGGGCACCCACAGGCCGTGGAAGTGCAGGGACTCAGAAGTGCTCCAAGGTCTTCGGCCAAAAGGAGGGACTAAAGGTGATGAGGCTCCTTTTAACGCAGATTCCCAAGTGAGCACTCAGCGTCTCCCTCCACCTGATTCAGCAATATTGGTGCTTAAGACCAGAGGTCAAAAGGGAAAAACTCAAAACCAAGGATTTCTCAAGTGCTCGTTTCCAGAGACTTTGGTGAAGGCATTTCCGGACCCAGCTAAGCGGGTCCCTCGCTGCTTATAAGAGAGCGCCAGCAGCCCCCCGCGGCCCCTGCACAAGGAGCTGCTGCCCTCGGTCTGTCGCCATCACCAGGCCGACTCGACGGCAGTTGTGGGAAAGACGATGAGACTTGGGGTGACCCATGCAACACAGACCCCCAAGCGGTCCCTGCACCCTGAGGGCACGGGACCTGTGGCTCTCACTGCCACTTCCGGCCCGTTTGGTACAATAAGCTAAGAAATACGTGAGTGTTAAAGAGTAAACACAATCAGAGTTCACAGTGGTGTCGATCAAGGAGGCCCTGAGATGAGGCGGCCTCGCTGCCCTGGTGGCCTAGGTAACAGGTGGAAACACACGGACAGCCCATCCCCCTTCTCTGTGGTCTCCCCTCCCTGGGTGCGCCCTCCTCACCACCTTGGGGCTGGCACTGCTGGTTGAACTGATAAAATGTCAGCTCTGCCTCAGTTTACCTGATGTGTCCGTTTCAGCTTTAACACTGTGAGTTCATAACCTCACGGCTTTGCATTGTGTTTCTTTTCTGACCTGCAAACTTGAGGCCCGTTCACACGCACGGACTGATGGGGCTGGAGAACAACGCATGTGAAGTGCTGTCCTTGCACAGCCCGCAGGTCACGCAGGCCCACATACGCACAGGTGTGCACACCGCACAGGCCCTACCCCACACAGGCCCTACCCCACACAGGCCCTACCCCACACAGGTGTGCACTCCACACAGGTCCTACCCCGCACAGGCCCTACCCCACACGGGCCCTACCCCGCACAGGCCCTACCCCACACAGGTGCGCACACCACACCGGTGCACAGGTCGGGGCAGGGGGCCACTGGAGGTCAACGGAAACCAAGAAACAAAACCACCTTCCTCACTGAGCCTGCGTGGGATGGAGCAGCGAGGGCTCACGGTCACTCCGTCTCGGAGGCACCTCAGAGGGGACACCTGGGGAACGTCTGCGCCACCACAGACAGCTCCTCCCATTCACTGGTCAGGAAACGCCACTCACGTCGTCCACCGCGTGGGCCACGTCTCCGGACGCAGAGCTGAGGGAGAACAGCGTTAGAACACGTCACCCAGAGCCCGGGGCCCTGGCTTCGGCTGGAAAATAGGAGGCGTGCGGTTTCACGGCCACTTCTATGATTTCCCCCCGTGAAACACATATGCATCATGCACACGTGCACATGCACTCACATGTACCCACACGTATGCACACACGTGTGCGCACTGTGCAGAGCAGATCACCTGCTGTGTGACACGGGGTCGTGAGGCTCGGCGGCCGTGGGCAGTGCGGGGCGGATCCGACAGTGGACTCTGATGTTCCCCTGCAGCTCCTGCGACAGCAGAGGCCTTGTCCTGAGCCGGGCGGGCGGCCACCGCGGACCCGCCTCCTCCCCTCAGGTCCTCGGATGGAGATGTGTGCGGGGATTCCTACCCCCAACTCCACTTCTGACAAATCCCTACCAACCACTGAGCGCCCCGTCCCCTTGCAAGGTTCCACCACCGCCTCCCGCACCCTCCACTGCCTCGCACACAGGCCCTGGGAGGGAAGCGCCAGGCCTGTGGCTCCCCTGCCCCTCGCTGCCCTCTCTGGTCGTCCCTCCTGAGGTCCCTGCTGGCACAGGAGGCGCCCACACGCTCACCACCAGGCAGTTGTGCAGCCGCCGCCGCCTCTGCCTCTCGCGGTGGAAGCGTGCGCTCAGCTCCTGCAAGGACTGCTCCAGGCTCAGGGCCCTGGCGCGCCACGCTGGGAGGGGTGGCTCCCGTCACAACGAGGTTCCTGGGAGGGAGCCCCCGCTGGCTCCCACCCACCTCCTCCAAGGGCAGGACATTTAGAAAGACCAGGGCAGGGGGTGCCCAGGGCTGTGGGCGGCGTTAGGGCCACTGCAGGGGCTGCTGTGCGCTGACCCCGTGACTAACAACGGGCACCACGCTCAGCACCGCTGGTGAGGAAACGGACACCCAGCAGCCAGGGCCCCAACACGGGAGGTTTCCACGGAGACCCCAGAGGAGGAGGGTTGGGGCCTGGGCTGCAGGGACAACCCTGCCTTGACTTCTGGGCAGCCAAGCCCTTAGCTGACCAGTGAGGACATGACATGTGAGCGGCAGGGACCAGGAGGACCGACGGGTGGACACTGAACGCCAGGCCTGCGGGCCCCGCTTCCCGCCAGGCCCAGGACGATGGCGCACAGGGTGGGAGGGGGCCCCTTACACGGCCGCGCCCCGTAGTGCTGCACGCTCTGCACGGCCGCCAGGACCTGGGAGAGACAGCCCTGCTGCTGGTCCCGGCAGCTCCGGAGAAGGTCCGCAGAGGAGGCCCGGAGTTCCCGCAGGTCCCGGCGCAGCCGCTGCAAGGGCAGAGGCCCCGGTTAGTATCCCCGGCCGGCACGGGTCACCGGGGACGGCCACAGACGCGTCTATAAAGCAGGACGGACCGGCAGCTGCCCGGACGCCCATCGGTGTCTGTGAACTCCACCTGCTCACACCCTAGCACGCTCAGGGCCGCCCGCGGTGCTGGAGGGAACAAGCCCGGCTCAGCTCCAGCGCCCGGCGCCCCGGCCTGTGGTTCCTGAGTCGGCGTTTGAGGCATTTCCACCATCGAGTGTCTCCCCAGCGTCCCCAGACCGCTCCCTGCACGGGGAAGGCTGATCTGAATGCTGACTTCCTCGGGGTGCTGGCTTGGTCCCCTCGGACCCGGACCCGGGAGGCAGCTCTGATCCACGCTGCAGACTCCGCCCCAGGGCGTGCCAACCCACCACAAACTGCTCTTTAATTCAAAATGTTTTCACGTCAGACCCTCCTTTAGTCTCTGCGTTTGCAAGGCCATCACGCAGGCCTCCCCTGAGCTGCCGGGCAGCACGTGGCCCCCTCCGTCCGCACCCGCACAGGTGCTTTCGGGGTGCTCTGTGTGGTCAGTGGGAGAGCAGAGCCGAGGTCAGCCCCCCGACTCCAGCAGCAGCGCCGGCTCCACCGCCTCAGGGCAGGGCAGCAGCCGCACTGCAAGGCCTGCGGGACCCCCACAAGCAGCTCTGCTCCCTGAATCAAGGCCCTCTCTGCCCGAGACCAGGTCCCGGGGGCCACAGGCCTCACACAGCTGACCAGACCAGCACCGAGCGAGTCACCCACAGATCCGTCCCCGTGGCAGGGTGTCTGCCCTGGCGCCTACCTGAGCCGCCTGCTGCAGCCGGAGGAGCGAGCGTGTCCTCTGGGGATGGCCCTCGCGCCATCTCGTGTCCGCCATCCCCGCCAGCCTTAGGCGCTGAGGTTGTAGAGAAAAACAGAGGGTGCCGCCTTCCAACCCCGCCTCTGAGCGGGTGTTTTCTCAGCAGGGGACAGTCTGCGTCAGGGACACGCCCAGCCACAGCTGCACCCAGGAGGGCAGGAACCAGCCACGGAGGAGGCCGCCCTCGGGGGCGCTTGTGATGGGGGGGGCGCGGGACAGCATCAGGAGGTGCAGGGTGTCTGTGAAGGCCCAGGAGGGCGGGCGGATGCCAACATCAGAAAGAGCAGCTGGAGAGGCACAGGGGCTCCCGCGGGCCTGGGGACGAGGGGACGTGCTGGGCATCTTCAGGGACAGTGCCAGGCCAGTGGGGGTTCTACAGGAGCCCAGGTGGTCACGCGTGGACAGCCCACTCCAGGCTCCCTGGTGACAGAACGCGCTGACGTCCTTGCCCAGCCAGCACCGCTCACGTGGCAGGGGTGGGGGAGGGGGGCGGTGAGAGCAGGGAGCTTGGGCTGCAGATGGGGCGGGCAGGGGCCGTGGGAGACTGACCACTGAGGTCCGCCCACCGGGCCTCACAGCTCAGCCACAAGACGTGGCACGTTACCTGGGCCAGTCTCAGGTGAAGGGCAGCATTTTCCGTTTCCAGCTCAACGATTCGTTCTTCTTTGGCCTCCAACCAAAAGAGGGAGAAGTGGCCACATTAGAGTCATCGGTGGCCACTCCCACCCCAGGACCAAGTCCGTGAAAGGACGCAGGAGCCTCACGTGGAGCTGTGGGAAGGAGTCAGCGAGGGGGGCACCGCCAGCCCCAGCCCCCATCTGTGACCCATTCCACGGGGCTCCGACCGGCAGC